GGCTCGCACGGAGGTCCACCATGCGCTCGCCAAATCCACGGTGCGGTTCCTGCGGTATCTGTACTGGTGGACTATATGTATTAAATTTCACACAGACATAGGACAGACAGAGTGCACGAATGTGGACGGTGAGGAAACTCATGCCGAGGAGCCCTGGAGTCTCGTGAGCACCGTGAGCGTTCACGATCGCGATAGTCGGCCTCGTCGTCGCGATGCAGCGCCTGAGCGGTCTGAGATCAGGCTTGACAGAGCCAATGACTGCACCACACAGCAGCTAACCTAAACATGACAGGAGGTTGTCACTACGCACTCACCAGATCTGCAGTCCCTGTGGTATTTACTGGTAGACTGTACGTATGAAACTCGATGGATACCTAGGACAAACAGAGTGCACGAACCCCGACGGCGGAGAAACTCGCGCCAAGGAGCTCTGGAGTTTCGTGAACGCTCCCGACCGCGATAGTCGCGGTAGTCGCGAGAGTCAGTCAATGGAACATCGTCATCTCGGCGCTGCACCTGAGCGCAATGCCACTATGGCGCAGCTTCTGTGGCATCTTTACTGGTAGACTGCACAGTTAAGAATGACTTCACATGGAGGCCCGCTACATAGTTTTTACTTTTGGCACACACAGCTAATGAAAGAAACATGAACCAAACAAGTAGCGGTGCCAAAGTGTAAGAGGCGTCACAAGCGCTGCACCGTTTTCGATCGAGCTCCGAGTTTCGAGCCGCCATGCGTGCTACAAAAGACATGTAGCAAGTCAGCCTTGGATAGGGTCTACGTTGGAATCTGTCGATGTTTGCTTGCGCGGATCTAGCGCAGGGCCAGCGCGCGGCCAGCGCATTTTTCAGCCGGCCACTTTTCGAACACCTGACGACAATCTGAACATTTCCTAAGGCAAACATTAGCCCAAATCTACCGCAAACCTAGCGCCCAGCTGCAGAATAGGTGTGTTTAGCCGGGGGCCCGCTCGACAATACCATGGAAAAAACAACATCACAAGCTACCTTCGACCCCTCTGTTTTTTATTGTAGACTTTTGGCCGAAGTCCACATAGAGTGTGCGAACCTCGCGGTGAAGAAACTCAGGCCAGGGAGCTCCGGGTCGCGAACGGTCGCGATCGCGATCGTCAACCAATGGAAGGTCATCATCTCGGCGCTGCGCCTGACCGGTCTGATACTAGGTTTTGCGGAGCTTGACCGCATAACACAGCAGCTAACTCGAACAGGACACGTCAATAGAAAAACAAGACGAAGCCCACGAGCCCGAACACAAGCACGTTCTCGTTGAAGGTTCACTGTTTTTCGTTTGCGCATGTAGTGTTACCATGTAGTGTTACAAGGGACCAGAGATGGCCAAACTTCGAATACCGTCCACGTCCCTCCCCACCGCTCGACTTGCAGCGAGCAACAGTAGCCTTGTCTTCGTCAAACCGCGCATCTCGCTCCTGGGCGATTGGGTCGAGCATCCTCTGCCCCACTCCAAAAGCATAACCACATGGATGCCCAAATCAATGGAGGTAAAGTCGCTCAACCGAGATGAAACAGTGGGAGTGTTGTGATATACCATGGGTTCACCTGTCAGAAACGTGTTCTGTCCGGGGAGTCATTGCATTGCGAGCGACTGCGCGCTCCTCGGCCGGCGAGTGGTCACGGTCATCTCCATGACGCGCCTGAACAAGTGGGTATCAGAAACCACCAAAAAGGTACCAAGCTTTCGATCTCAATCTTTTGTCGAGCCCCTTGCCGAGAACGAGCCGACGAGGCGCGCACACACGGCCATGATCCGACAATGTGCGTGCATCATGATCCGCCTCACGCCCCTCCTTCTCACGTTGCTCGACTTCCATCATGTCTTCCAGGGCGTCCAGGAGGTCATCCTGCGACGTGGCCGGCGTACGCGGCGTATATGACAAGGCCACAATCGAGGTTCTCAACTCTTTCTGGGCTGATGCATGTCTGGATGGCGCAAAGTGTCCAGCGAGCCATATACCACCCCGAAGGTACATGGATGGAAGGTGCAAGAATATGCTTGGAAGGAACGCATGGCTTGCTATGGTAACGTTTGGATGACATTGAACAAAACATAAAGTCAAGAAGGACACGTCCAAAAGGAAACGAACGATCCACAAAGCACGACAAATGGCCGCCGCGGTCGTGCGGCCTTCTTCGGACGCTTCGCACGGCAGTGCTGGTAGAGCGGCCATACGCCAGCAGCGCCGCGCCGTCGGCAGCAAGGGCACGTGCCATGATCGACGAAGTGCCACAGCGACGTCATAGTCAGCCGAAACGCCGCTTTGAATGGGAGCGAGCAAGGTTCTTCTCTGGGAGCAATGCACGTCAGGCGCAACTTAAGATGCTGGAATTTGCGGCTTGCAAATCTCCCACAAACAAAGGAGTGCTGACCAGACCGCTTTCGGGAGGCTTCGACCAACAAGCCAAAAAGCAAGACCAGCAGTATTATTAACCCTGAAAGGCACCACCTCAGTGTGGGTCGCTGGATCTGAGAGCTTGGTGTCAAATCTTAAGCTGATTTGCTTTGTTTCTGTCTACTTGCCAACCAGTAGCCTGTGCTTTCTAAAGCGTCTTGACTCAACTTCCCCTTTTCGACCCAATGCAAATAAAGTTTTGCAGCATGCATTCTCTGAACTTGGGGTATGCACTGTGGCTTGCTGGTGGAGCTATCATTTACCTGTCCAATGTGCACCATCTCTGGGGGGGAGATGTCCGGGATGAAGCCGAACGTTTGCTTGATGCGTGGACTGACTTCAATACATGGACAAAACAAACGAAAACTCAGTCCTTTGATTGCACCTTTTGGGAATCATTCGTTTGACATCACAAATGCTTCTATCGCTTACCACCTCAGCTCCTTGGGGAGGGTGAAAGTTCGAGATTGTGATTTGCAAACTTTTAGGGTGTCTTGAGGCAGGCTCGAAGGTGCAAAATACTGTAATTTACAATAAAAAGTTGCTTTGGGTGGGTTCTTCTGTGCTCTGTCTGTCTTCTAGTGGGCCTCGGTGTCAAAAATCTTAAGTTGATTAGCTTTGTTTCTGTCTCTTCTGTGCTCTTTCCGTCTTCTTGTGGGCCTTGGTGTCAGAAAACTCTCATCTTAAGTTGATTTGCTTTGTTTCTGTCTCTTCTGTGCTCTTTCTGTCTTCTCGTGGGCCTTGGTGTCAAAAACTCTCATCTTAAGTTGATTTGCTTTGTTTTTGTCTCTTCTGTGCTCTTTCTGTCTTCTTGTGGGCCTTGGTGTCAAAAACTCTCATCTTAAGTAGCTTTGCTTTGTTTCTGTCTCTTCTGTGCTCTTTCTGTCTTCTTGTGGGCCTTGGTGTTAAAAACTCGCATCTTAAGTTGATTTGCTTTGTGTCTGTCTCTTCTGTGCTCTTTCTGTCTTCTTGTGGGCCTTGGTGTCAAAAACTCTCATCTTAAGTAGCTTTGCTTTGTTTCTGTCTCTTCTGTGCCCTGTATGTCTTCTTGTGGGCCTTGGTGTCAAGAAGCCTCTCATCTTAAGTTGATTTGCTTTGTTTCTGTCTCTTCTGTGCTCTTTCTGTCTTCTAGTGGGCCTCGGTGTCAAAAATCTTAAGTTGATTAGCTTTGTTTCTGTCTCTTCTGTGCTCTTTCTATCTTCTTGTGGGCCTTGGTGTCAAAAAAACTCTCATCTTAAGTTGATTTGCTTTAAGTTGATTTGCTTTGTTTTTGTCTCGTCTGTGCTCTTTCTGTCTTCTTGTGGGCCTTGGTGACAAAAAAATATCATCTTAAGTTGATTTGCTTTGTTTCCGTCTCTTCTGTTATCTTTGCGCCTCCCATGCACCTCGTAGTGATGCAAGTGGTGCTGTGGAACGCCCCCGACTTTTTTAGCATTTTCTCTGTCATTTTTGTATCCGATGACCTTGTGGAAAGTCGGGGCCCAGTTTGTCAAAAAATTGTCAAAAAACAGTGCATTAATGATCCAAAAAAGTCTTATTTTTTGCTGTGTTTTCCAATGTTTTATGCACATTGCATTTCAAAGCCTTCGAATGCGAGATAACAAGATAAACCTCAAAAATTGCCTCTCGTGCAGGTAAAATGCAACTTTTTGAAGGTAAATAAGCTCAACACAAACCCACCCAAAGCAACTTTTTACTGTAAATTACAGTGTTTTTTGCACCTTCGAACCTGCCTCAAGACACCCCAAAAGTCTGCAAATCAAAACCTCGAACTTTCCCCCCCCCCCCCCCCGGAACTACCTCCCGGCCAACAACTCAAAGCGATATTCATCGCTTTCCGTCATCAGCTTGGCCCCCCCCCCCCCCCCCCTTCCCTTTCAGTAATACTTCCAAGCGCTACAGCGCTTTCCGTCATCCGAAGGGGTGCCGGGTATCTCCTTGACCCTGCCGGAGACACCAAACACCAGGACAGGACATGTATCCTGAGGACCTCTGGTGGTTTGAGTCGTGTTCTTTCCTTCAAAGTCAGTGTGAGTGGACCACTAAGTCACTACCACCCGTCAATGGGTCCCTGCCAACCTGGAGCTCTGGCACGTCTCTATGTATATTGAGTAGGTTTGCACAAATGCATGTAGCAAGACCCTGCATGCATCAGAAACAAATACATTTCTGCTAGCTGCTAGCGGAATGTCAATCTCTGTGTGCAGGCCTTAAACATTGATGCATTGGCATCCGTTACCTATGGATTTCCACCCCACTCATCACATACTTAATTCTTCTACCAGGAGTGAGTTCTGGATGCCTGCCTGCGGCTGCCTGTGCCCCTATAGGCCCTACAGCATCTCTGAAATCGGAATTGGTGTCATCTGTCCTGGCTCGCTCTTCCATTTTTCCCAGCTCTTCCTTTGCCAGACCTTCCGGAAGTAGGGTCTGCAATCATCAACAAATCCTTCGGTTGCTCCGGCATATAAGACTTCCCCAATCGAGATTACCTTCCCTGTGGGTGTGTGGGTGTGTGTGTGTGTGTGCTTCGGTCCGGGAAACTGGTATCAAACCGAAAATCCGAAACGCCTAGCCTACTGCGTTCTTCTTCTTCGTCTCAATGAACCGCACAACAGCGTTCACATGCTCACCGGCCTGCAATCAAAAAATAACATTGCAAAACAAGCAGCTGGACTCGACCAAACGAACAAAGCACAAAGAAACGTTGTCCCTTGTTTTCTCTAATCGTTGTTCTCAGTAAAAAACATACCGATGTTTGTCATTTCCAAGTGAGTATCAATGGTCAATAACTGATCTCCATCAAGCAATGCTGTAGAATGTTGATTGTGTTGAGCTGTAGCCTTGCCTTGGAGACAGCTTGTTGCGCCTGCACCATCAGCTCCTGAGGTGAAAACATGTGCTCACAACTTCTGGGAAAAGAAATTTAATGAAAGCCAGAGGTCCTTGGACACGCCTTCCTCGCTCTTGAGCATTTCCGTGGCTTCTTCGGCACGATCAACATCTACCTGCGTGAAACACATGAGCCCTCCGTCATTGCCCCCAATGCCTTCCTGGGGAGTAGAAACTTCGAGAATATAGTGCCACACCTAAAAGCATCAAAGAGAATCCAACATCCAATCATACAGCCTCCGCGGGTGATAGCTTCTCCAAGACTTCTTGCATCATCTTCTGAGCAGCTGTGCGCTGCACAAATTCCTGGCCACACTGCATGTGGAATAATTGTGTCAAGAGTGGACTGTTCATGGTGACCCTGCATTTGCTGAGTTGAGTGCACAAGCTCGATTTAACTAACAGCTCCACAGCCACAACCTGTGGAGAAAGTTTATCTTCAACCCGCCTGTCGGACATTCTTCAGTGGGCTCAGCTTCTGCTGAGCCTGCCAGAAGCTGTGACTTGCGAGAGACTCAAACCGTCAACGGGAAAAACATACCAAGAAAAGACCAAGCAGCGAAAAGGCCATGCCGAAAAATACATGTTAAGGTCGCCTCTTGGAGCTGAGCTTGCAATCCGCCCAGTTCTGAGATCGCCTGGACCCAGGTGTCAGGGAGACTCCCGTGAAACGGAATCTAAATCAAACCCAACTTGCGCCGTTTGGGATCTTATTCAGAAACATGCGCAGTGTTAATTAAACCAAATAATGGTTGGTCAAGTTTACAACTTTGCCGATTTACCGTCAATCAGAGTCTACAGTCGGAAGCTTGGTACAATAAATTCGGGAAGGGTCTACCAGTGCGAACCAATCACATGTACACTCCACAAAAGTTGATGACCTGATCGGACAATCACTCCAGTCACAGCCTTGGCTTTCACCTTCTCGCTCTCGTACCGCCTGCGAAAAAATCACACAGTGCGACAGTGCATCTAAATGTCCTCATCAAAGTAGCTAGAGTAGTGGCTCATTACTAATAACGGTGCAAATGCACCTCTACTAGCATGTTTCAAGTCAAGGAATTTTCATGAATGTTAGAGCAACCACAAGGAAGTCGCATGAGTACGCTCGATCCAGCCAATATTCAGAACATGTACAGTATATATAGGTATGTAGCGATCGACCAAGTCATCAAACTTCAAGCTTACGGTTTTCATTGCAAGCTGTACACTGGACATGTCACACGCCCCATGGTCAGATCCACAAATTTGCCAGCCAGCCAGCATGGCAAAACGAATGGCAAGTGTCTGTACAAAGCATATGTCATCCTTCTGGAAGCTCAGAAAAATCAGAAGCTTGCCTGGCTTGCCTGTCAAATATACTAATACCTTCCAGTCATGCTTCGCTTCCGGCAATAACGGAGTCATCTGCGATCGTGCGGAAGGTGAGCGATGTCCGGCGTCCGCGCGGCAATAACGCCCCCCGGTACAGCAGAGTTGGTGCAGGTGTGATACTGTGTTGCCACAACCATCTCACTTCCCCTTGAAGCAGCAGTACTGAGCGTGGCTCCAATAAAAGTGCCCTCACTTCTCCAGTCTTGAGACATTTGAAGTCCATGACCACTGACTCAAGCAAGGACATTCCAAGAACCACCTCGCCAAAGAACTCCCTGTCACGGTGCGCCTTGATGCCTTGTCCGCCAATATAGTCATTCACAATGCACTGATCAAAGTTGACTGAGTCGATGCACCCATGAAGCTTTAAACGCTCAAGAATGGCATGCGAAGACCTGGGCATGTGGTCCTGCGGTGGTGCAAGGCGGACCAGGGCGTTCGAGTGGCGGTTGCGCCAATGGAAGCCATATCCGAACTGCTTGGTTCGTCTGGACTTGTTGTCTCCATCCCACGGGCCGTCATCAATCTCAGCTAGCAAGGCATGCTCCTCATCTTTCGATATGAAATTCCTCAGATATGTAAGCCCTGGGATCAAGGGTCCCTCATCAGTGGGCGACAAGGTAAACACCCCTGGCACATATCCAAATGAAGTGGCTGTCAGAGAAGGATCCATGCTCAATGCTTTTTTTTGAGTGATTCCAAAGGGTAAAACATTGTAGGCCTCCTCATCTTGCGTCAGGGACTTCTTTTGTATGTTCAAAGGAGCCGCAAGGCTCACACATGGCAAGGTTGAGGCGCTGACATCTTCAATCGCATACATTGCTGGTGAATCGGGTCCCAACTCCCGCCAGAAGCTTTTGTAATGCCGCGGCATGCCACAATTGAAGCCTTTGAATGAGGAACAAGAAGGAATTTTTTGAATGATGGATTTGGGTGACCTGGATTCTTGGAGTTTGTGCATGTTGCTGGTAGATTCTGTAGATTCTTTCGTAGCAAAAAAGGCAAGCAATGTGAGCCAAATGCCTTTATATATGCAACACTCAACGATTGGTTTCTCCATGAGGCACATCTAGCAATACGGTGTCTTTTGGAAGTTACAAGGAAGGACTTGTGGTGATGTGGCCTGGCCGCAGCTTGCTTGGCATTCAAGAAGATTCGTGCTTCACCCATGGCTTTTTGTGCTTCTTGCACCGCCTGCAGCGACCATGCTGGGCAAGGCAAGCACTTTGAAGCCCACGGCGCAGCTCAAATCGTGCCTGCTCGGTTGCTCCAACAGCCTGCGAATCCGTCAGACTCCGCCCCAACTGCAGTCCAAAGAACCATGAGCTGCAAGTAATCCATGATCTGCATACAGATTCAGTGCAGAACCTTCAGTGCAGAAACGAGGGAGCAGAAATGGATCGCCACCAAGAAACACATCAACCCCATATCAAAACAATGAACCGACCCTGCTCCTTTTGACTCGACCTGCCCATCGCATTCTCGCCTGTCGAACCTCATCAAGGTCTTCTCCGCCCGCAGCGATCATCTCCGAGGTGATCACGGCTTTCTCCACTGCATCCTCCACAGGAAGCGTCTCGGTGTGTCTCGGTGTTTCCCAACGTCTGACACTAAAGGAAGACCAGTCGAAAGCTAGACAAAAATTATTGGTTCTTCCGGTTCTTGGGCTTCTGTGGATGAATAAGAGAGCTTGCAGCTCAAAGTTAGTCATCACCCGTGAGCCTCTGCAGCATTGGCCTTGCTAACAGCTTCCGGAAGGATCTGGGGCAACCAGTTGCGGCAATGAGGTGGTGAAACATTGCTCACAAAGTCTAGTCATCGATCGCTCTCCCCTTAAAAACTGGTTGTTGATAAGAGGGATCATGCCGCCTCATTGAAGACCATCAAGTCGCGTTCCTCCAGGGCCTTTTGTTTTTCAGACAGCTCTGCCTGGCAAATTACCCGTTTCAATGCACCATGGTTGGCTTTTGATCATGCATAAGTGTGTTCCAACTCCTCCAATCGGCCTTCTGCTTCGAGCTACGGACCTTGCCAAGCTCCACATTAATTGCACTCATCAGGGCCTGCAGCTCTAGGCTTTGATCTTTCAAGCTCGAAATGTTCCCCAAAATCCCTACTCGCTTCGCTGCTTCCCGGGCTCCCAACCTGCAAACCTGACCTCGGCATTGAACTCTGCTGCAGGTATGTGTTCTTAAATAGAGAGAAAAAAAAGCAAATCAAAGACCATTACGGATGTTCTGTCACACCTCTCTGAGGTCAAAAGCCTCATCTGCTGAACTTGCCGCAGCGTCTCTGCGTTGCTGCCAGCACGCCTCAGCCCGATGACAGGCAAATCAATGGGATTGATAGAAGACACAGAATGAACTTAGAAACAAGTGCCACGCTAGTAGTAACAGGTGCCTTACTATTGACCCTTAAGTCACTCAGCTCAAAACTGTGCATCCGTCAGTTGCTTCATGGCCTGTCGTCAAAGGCTTCAAAGCACTCCCAGCAAAAAATCAACGCAGCTGTGGAGCCTCTGCTAAGCCCGTCAGCTGCGGCTGCAGAAGGGTTTCAGCCTCTTTCAAACCTCGAGCAGAATTTCCTCTTCAGAGGCCAAAACCATTTTGCTTTCCAAGTCTTTTTTGTTCACCACAAGAACAAATTATATACTGTAAATTCACTTTCCATTCAGTCAAGGCCTTCTGAGGATGTGTAGTCTCCTGCCGCAGCCTTTGCCTTTCACGCTTTCCCCGCTGATTGCTACACAATCCATTTCATCGATTCCTTTCCAACATTCCCTGGCCTGCTCTAGCGCACCTTTGGCTGCTGCAGAAGCTGTATTCACTTCAGTAGTCATATTCCTGGGCAAGTTACCCCTACAATGGCAAATGGACACACCTGCACTTGAGGATACAAAGGACTTGGTGAACATGCAAACCTGCCCCCAATTCCACTGCCGATAAAGCATCTTAAGCTTCATTTGAGCCTCATTCTTGGCCTGTTCAGCCTGCCACAAACAGGTGTCTAACATATCCGATGATTTCCATTGCTGGAGGTCTGTTACATTCGTCGTTGTGCTTCGCGCACAGCGCGGAATCCGCCTTGTTGGCCACTGACAGAGTTGGTCGAACATTGCCGTCCCATGGAATCTTCCATCCAGATGGTGGAGGAGTAAGGCCATTGGAGGCATTGTGAGACCACACCTGCCGTGAGGCAGAAGGCTGTGAGACCAAAACACAGATCAAAGTGGTGTTTATCGTCAACGTCAACATGCAGTAGATTCGGACTGCAGGATGCAATATGAAACAAGGAGCCTGAGTACCACCAAGCTTGTTGCCGAACCACCACCCCTCAAATGATGGCCTTGGCATCACAAAGCTTGAAGGAGAAAATCCTAACTGGAGTGACAAGAAGCTTCGTGATGCCTCTCATGCTGCCAAAGCACCCATCCCTATTGTCCCAGTAGTACATATAAACATCAACTGCTTCTGCTCGTCCATCGGCCACCTGCTCGTCGTCGATCTGCATCGCGGCTCAGCTCATTTTTCTCTCCAACAAAGCTGTCTTGGATGTCTCAGCACGTCGCAGCCACGTCCTTTTTGGGTCGAACAAATCAGTGGACCCTTAGGGTCACATGTCTAAGCAAAAGGGGAAAGAACATCGGCACGCAGCAGTTCGGTCAGAAGTGCTGCCACAACAGCTCCAGTCCAGCCCAAACTATGGCCTTTCGGATGATCGACTTAGATAAAAGAAACCCATGAAATCAGGATGGATGAAATGAGGATGGATTGGAAGTATCCAAGAAGATGATGCCACATCAGCATCAGCCAGTCTGCTGTTTTCGAAGTGCCTTGAATCTCCGGGCTTTGCCCGAAGTCCGAGATACAGGACCGTTCGGTCAGTCTAAGCGAACTATTGCCTCCTTGGCGTCAGGCTCCATTCACCGCGTTGGGGCGCTGCGAGTCTCGCATCAGTGCGGGCAACGAAGTGCTCTCACCTCACAGGTGAGCAACTAGCCCCCCCGTTTCAAGGTTCTGTACTATCATCACAAGATCCAAGTTGAGTCCGAGCCACTGAAAAAGCCCCCATTGGGAGCAGCGTGGAAGGACTTGTGAGCCAAGTGCCTCAGTGGTTTGGAGAGCCACTGCCTTCCAGCGCGCGTATGTAGTGGCGATGCCTTCCAGGGAGACAGGATCCAAACTGCAGCTCCCTCGTCAATCCCTTGCTTTGGCTTTTGAGAGGGGTTGTCTGAATGGACAGGTTCGAAGTGTTCTTTGATCAGTCACCATCTTGGCTTGGTGAGTGTGGTGAAGCCTTCGCCCTGGTCCGTCCTCGTTCTTTTTGATGCTTCATCTGAACGAGGACGGACCAGGGTGACCAAACAGATTGGATTCAAGTTCTACCCTAGCTGCTGTCCACAAGGAAAGCTTGCCTGCACTCCTGCATACTTCGTGAGAATTGGTTGTAGGCTCTTTAGACCATGTCGCACCTCAAAGCGAAGTTTCTCAGGACTCACCCACACAATCTTCTGGGAGGCACCTGCAAGAATGGCAATATCGGCGACATGGACTCCAGGTTCCGACATGTTCTCAGTTCTCAAAAGGATGCACAGTTGCTCGGACAACCCATTCAGCGATCTTGCACTTCAACACAGACCATGTCGGGTTCACATTTCACCACAATGCAATGCATTTCTGTTGTGACCCGCACGAACGCTGTCTCAGCGTCTGGGGCCTTCTGGAAAGATTCGCACCAACAACTGTCCGTGCGAGTCAGGCTCTCGCTCTAGCACCTCGCCAATGGTCCTGCCAGAGGTTTTGGCGATGCCTCTCTCTTTGCAAAATCGAGGAACTTTCACGACTTTGCAGGACTTCAAAGGGGAGATAAGGCCTAAGGTGCTTGCTGGGTCAAGCACAAGTTGAGTGACCATGCAAAATAGCCTAAAACACTAACAAGAATTGACTGATGAATTCAGCACCCGTCCCGTTGAATTCTGCACGGCTTCGAAGACCGGCAAGGCGAACGGGGGAGCCCACCGTCAAGTCCGGCGCTGAGTTGATCCTGCACCGAAGGTCCGGCGCTGCGTACCGAAGCATCGTCAACAGACGGCGGAAGCAAGACACCCCCAGGGAGTTGCACTCATTGTCCTTTGTGAAGCCATCAGACTAAAAGAAGAATCACCAAAGGGTGTATTTGTCTTTCAAGTCCTGTGAGACTTGTGCATTGGAGATAGCTCTTCTCTTGCACAAATGACGAGTCACAGGGACCTGTCGGGGACCTGTCGGGGACCTGTCGGGGACCTCCGTGTCCTGGTCAAGGAACTCAAAGGTGCAGAACGTGGCCGCACCAATCGGTTGAGCCCACTTAACGCTTGCCGGCGCTCCTGAAGTCCATCCGTTCGGTCCCTCCGGCGACTCCGCGGCGAGCGACCGTGCACTTTTTTGACACGTTCGAAAAAACGGCTCCTCCTCAGTGAGGACCCGGTTGGCATCCCGGAAATGTTTCAGCTCCTTGCAGAATGATGCTTAGTGATTTTTGGTGATCCATGACCTTTCCATTCAGTATGAGCGACTTAGAGAAAGGATGCATGCTACAAAACCCAGAGTTTCATTTCCTCCTAATCCTCGTTTGACCCTTCCTTTATGCCTTGCTTCAAGAGAAAAGAAACAATGGGGTGTATAGATTTATATACCAACAAAAATGTTGTGGTTTGCTCGTCTGTTTGCTTCTGAGGATTGGAAAGCGCACCCGCACTGTTCCATGCCTTGAGAAGGCATTCTTGGAAGGCTGCTGCACTGATGGCCATGGCACGCCAACAACTGTGTTTGTCAGCCGACTGGTGGCAATTCTGGATATTGCAACATTCATGGCAGGTCGAAGCCTTTAGTGGCAGTCATGCTGCCACGCAGATTCTGCAGCTAGTCGAGTCAAAACTCTTGCAGAACTTGCTGAGTCGAATAACCGAATAACTGTTGGAATTTTGTCAAGTCGAAAACTCTTTTCTCATACCCAGACCAATTCCTGAGCTTGACAAAGCACAGAGCACACAGTGGTAGAAAAGCAAAATGCAAGCATTGGTAGACAGCACAAATTTGTTCACAAGACAAATGGAGCAAGCAACCTTCTTGAAGACCTTTCGCCCGTGATTGGTGCCACTTTCTGTGTACTCTCCCACGAGAGTTCTAACCTCAGTCGCCCGTCGCACACGTCGGCACCGGGCGAGCGGCGCGAGCGGCACGGTGTCGTGGTCCCGAGGACCCGTCCACGACTTCTTCGCTGTCCTTTCCACTTGTGGAAACAACCTAAGCCAAGGCAAAGCCAAGGCAAAGCCAAGGCAAATCTGGAGGAAGGGGGAAGCTCTCAGTGCTGAGAGCCAGGCGAAGGTCTCCTTTCCCGTCACAACAGGGGCTGTGGCTGGTGAAGCCGGAGTCATGTTGGCAGGCGCAACGTTGGTCTGTCGCACAGGCGCAACGTGCCGAGGCGGCTCGTGCCGAGGCAAAGACTGCACTTCCAAAGAACATGAAGCAACGCTTTTGAGAAGAAAGCTGGAGCCTGCCATGCTGCCTTTTGCCTGAAATCCATTCCAGGAGAAACAGGACAAGAAGTGAACTCTGCAAGAGTGGGCTTGTTATCTACATGTTTCAGCTTAGAAGTACTCTATGTGCGACAAAGAGTCTCACAATGAGATAGAACAGAGAGCTCCCCTTGTTCTAGATGGTGGAGAATTGCACTACACCAGGGTCACCAAAGGAATGCAAGCAAGGAGCTGCCATGACGCGCCAGCTGGCCTAGCTTGCCAGTTTTGCTGCCTGGTGAAGCAATCAATGAAGATACTTGTTTCTAGAGAATGTCTATTAAAAATGAAGGTTGAAAGTGACCTTTCTCTTGCTCTTGAGGAATCCATCATAAGGTGCGCACTGTCTCCATGCCATGGCTCTTGAAGCCTCGGCAACTTGCATCGTCTATGAATCGAAAATGTGGTGTCTAGTGTATGAGAATACTGTGCCAAGATTTATTGTTTTACCCCAATCTGCCATACCTTGGCTCTACGCACCTCTTCCCATTCCCTCATTGACAATGACCGGCACTGCAGTGGGAAGCAAAGCACGAGGCAAGGGCCCTCAAGCAAAATAGGCTCCGCCTTGGCTCAAGCGAAGAAGAAAATACATATTATCCTGACCACAGCCATTAAACTAGTCAATGACAATCTTGCACCGCTGGCAAAACATACATCCAGTGATCATCACCCGTTTGATCTCCAAAAATGCTCAGTACCATGCTCGGTTCCAGATACATGCAACTACAACCCCACTACACAATAATACTAGAGCCAAAAGGCACGGGCACAATGCCAATCAATACGTTCCATACAGGCACAATGCCAACCAATACCTTCCATCCAAGCTAAATAGAATGACTTTCAAGCCAAGGATCATTGAGGCTTATGTGCTTCGCGCGCTTCCAACCACACATGCTGCAACAAAACGACAAGGTGGTCCTACTGATCGGTCTTCAGCTCTTTCATGATTCCCAACCTGCATGACACCGGACACTGGTGCGGGCGCACCGTCCGAGCCCCAGAGCTCCATGTCCTCAGGATTCTGCCAGGGAACGCAAACTAGAACAACATGGACCCAACTCGTATCTATCCAAGTGCCAACTTGTGAATATAGAAACACGGCATCGACACTACGCAGCTGCTCTCACCTTGAACCACAACATCATCAGTAATAAGCGCTGTAGAAACAGGGCTGTGTAACACTCATCCTTTTGTGAAGTGAAAAACCTGTACACAAAAATATGTGAAACATGCGATGTTGCACTCAACGCTGGTAGCGGAGTCTGGCTACGGATCTCACTTATGAATGTCCGACTGTCCTCTGCTCCGACCACTCAGGAAGACATACTGCAAGTCTTCCGTTGTCTTGGCAGCTGTACACGTACAGACTTTGTCAAAAAACCTGTTTTGTTCTTCTTTCCGGGTACATACTGCACTTTCCAGCGTCGCTCTGCCGCACGCTCCTGCAACCATAGGTACCGAGTCTGCACGCGGCGGGCTTTACCCAAGCCAACACGTTGAACTGCGTTTCAGCTCCGGCCACTGCAAAGTGATTACAGGCCTGGTCTAGTCCAACCAAACCACCCTTGACTAAGGCGCAAGACTCTGAATCGCCTGCGCTCGCAGCAATTGGTGGGTTGCACATTACTGCTTTGTTCAAGACGTGTGTTCCATATAGGGCTACCATCCCGGTCGCTTTTTTTTCCGGGCCATGGCATCTCCACCGTCATCCGCGTCCACCTGTATGCGCAAATTTGCTGGCATCGCTTGGCCTGCAAACACGTGAGCGATACCATGGTTTCTCTTGAGGTGCAAGTACCTGGTGAAATGCTTCAAGGCGCCAGGCTTCTGTCGGGCTAACCACTTGACCACGTGACTGACGTCGCGCCGGCCTTCCTGTAAGTAAGCTCGATTCTATGCCGTTTGCCTTCTCCAAGTGTCTTCTCTCAACTTCACTCACCCCTGAACTTCGGATTGAATGATTTTGGTCGCCTTCCTCGTCTCCATCGCCATGAGCTGTAACCCGGACGTCATGGAACCCGCACGCCGGCCTCAACTTCTGGTCGCCGGCAGTTTCCTCCCCTCATCGGCTCTAAAGGCGGCGAACTGCTGACAAGAAAGTTTGCTGGCAACTGTTCCTCTTATGTTTCCTGGCCTTGATGTTACAGACCACCAGTTTGCTGCAGTAATTGGGGTTTGTTGGCTTTTAGGTTTCACAGTTTCCTCATAGCACTGTGTCTTTGGTCTCACGCTCTGCGCCTGCTGCAGCCACGCTCTGGCGGGGCGTTGCGCAGGCTCCTCGCCACAGCCTTCAAGTTGCATCTTCTTTGGCTAGTGCCTCAACCTCCTCGCCCTCCCAGCTTGTTGCTCCCCAAAAAGCCCCCAGCTCGCTTTTGCTTGGTATACAACTCGGCCCTGGCGCGCGTTCTGGAGTTGACACAACATATGACAAGACGGTGAACCGGTCAAGAGGAGTTGGCTCATCTCTATCCACAATGTCATGCACTTCCTGTTCTTCACATCCTAAAAACGAGCCGTCTCCCTTCTGCTCTTGGCTTCGATTTATGCCTTTTGCTAACACGGTGAGCCATTGATCTCCATCACATCTATATGTGGCTGAACGGGTGAGCAATGTCCACAATCTCCTGTTCTGCAATGTCCAAACCATGTGCTTCATCTCTTGATGATCTGCTTCAAGCTGCTTCGCAATCTCTTTCACCTTCGAAAAGCTTGCTGAATCAGCTGGCCAACTTGCGGTGTTCCTGCAAAATGTGCGAATGGTGCTGCTCTACGTAGACCTCCTTCGAATCTCGGATCCAATTGCTCCACTGCCGTGCTCTCTTTCTCCTTTGGATTGGATTTGGTTCTACCCTTGCAACAGGATGCAACAGGTGGATCTTTCCTAAGTTCTCCTGTTCTCTTCTTGGGCTCTGTTGCTGCTACTTTGGCTTTTGCCACTGGTCTTTCCTTCACCTCCGCTGCTTCTCTTCAGCTCGACTCGCTTTTGGGCCTTCAAGAGTGGTCTCACTCTCAGCCGCTGTGGCGCGCACCTCCTGATCCCGAGCTCTTCGCTCCTGCTTCTTTCCCTGGTTCCCAGAAAAGATTGGAGAAGACGTGAGGCGTGAGATTCCTGAAACGCGGAGGGTGCACAGATCCATCCTGGTGATGCAGCGAACGGAGTGAAGAGAGGTGCCAGCATCAGATGACTGACTTCAGCCGACCGGTGCGACCCAAGTGGTTGGGATCTTTTGCGGGGCCCACGGTAATCCCACGCTTCGCGGTCCCGTGCAATCTAGGAGACCTCAACTCCGAACTGTGCTGCAAGCCGTCTGCTGCAACGCAGAAGTCGCCAAGGACCGACGGGAGCTCGTTGATAGGGCTCGGCACCTGCAGCCGCGCTTTCGGCCGCTTCTTGATCAGGCTCCTCCTTTTCTACTTCTTTGGCCCACTGCTTTTCTTCAGGCCACTCTTCCTGGTTCCTCTTCAGGCAAGTCCTCTTCTTCTTTGTTCTCTGTTCTGGCAGAGGTTCCTCGGGCAAAGGCGGTTCTTCATCTTCTTTCTTGTCTTCTTTCTTGTCTTCATCTTCATCTTCATCTTCACCTTCATCTTCTTCTTCATCTTCATCTTCATCTTCATCTTATTATGCGTCTTCTTCTTCTTCTTTTTCTTCTTCTTCTTCTGCTGGCTTCTGCTTCTGCTTCTGCTTCTCCTGCTGGCTTCTGCTTCTCCTTGAGCCAAAACAAACATCGTCAGTCGTCAGAAAACGGAGCTATGTATGGGCTCTACATTTCGACTGTATTTTAGTTACAGTATATTCTGTATATCTGGTGCTGGCCCCAGCACAAACGAACTTATTCTTGCGGACTTTTGAGTTTCATACTTCCTGAAAGCAAGAACCTAACTGAATCGCTGTTCCCATGTGCAACTGGTGTTTTTCCAGACAGGGTGATTGTATAAATTGTTGTTCTGTGAATGTACAAAAGAAGTGGAAGCCAGACATTCAGTGGTCTCTGTCAGACTGAGAGCTGAGCTTGACACGTCGACTGAGCTGGAGGCTTTGGTTCCCCTCGAACGTGCACCTGTCGAACTCACAGTTCTCACAACTCGATCCACCATGGACAAGATCGCACAAGTCTCTTTTGTTGAGTCCAACAACTTCTATGGTTCTATCTGGTTCTATGATGTTCTATGGGTCACTGTGATCCCTTGGCCCCCCCACTGGTGCAGACAACTTGGCGAAGTAAGTT